TAACACATTTCACTGTTCACTTTTATTCATGAACCAAAATGCCCTTCAGCCCTTATCCATTAAATGACTGAATTGCGCTCTACAAAGCTTCTTGCTGAAGGGTATTTTGGTCCATAAATAAAAATGAACAGTAAAATGTGTTAGTTTTGTAATTAGTTTTGGTCTTTTATCAAATCTTGTAAATATTTGATAAAAGTTGTTAGTTTTGTAATATTTGCTCCAAAAGAAGTTGAATTTGCAACTTTCCCTCCTTTAAATTCATCTTATTAGCGCAGAAATAGTGGATTGTCCATGTGATTTTTCTGATTAATAACTAATACTATTTTTTTTTTTTCTTCCTTAATTGACTTCAGAAATGCAGGTCAAGGTCAACTTAGTTTTCTGATCATGATTTCATAAAGAATACAACATTGATCATGGTACTTACATAATTAAATCAGACATTCACATTTCCTTACAACAATTTTCCTAGATAATTAATGACCTTGCATGGGGCTCAATATGATTAGTCAATGCTTGTTAATTATCCTTTCTTTGTTACTTAATACGACATGTGACCTCTCTCCAGCTCATGCAATCCTAACAATGTGCCTATTATAAAGGAGGAGAAAAAAAAAATTAATAGTAATGATAAATTGAGTAGTGATGTGTTGTGTTGAGAGGGTACACATCCTTAAATTTTGTTAGTTGTTTTGTTAGTGCTCACACACACATAAACACACTTAATGTTTGCAGACTATTTGGTTGTGGTAATTAAACTTCCAATGATACACCAGCAATAGTAAAACTTTGCAGTACACAAATCAGCAATATAATCATTCTTGGCAAAATAATATGCCAAAGGCTATATCTGTCTCTTGGCTTACTGATATAGAACCAGAAGAGAAGTTACAGGAAGATAGATATATGATGATAGATATATGATGCATTCTAAACAATAGTCTAGCCTCATGCAGAGACAAGGCTGCGTACATCGCAGTGGCAGGAGCCTCGTGCACTGTGCTACAGTGCTAGTTCTATTTTACTTGGAAAATAACCAACAATTATGATAAATCTTTTTAGGCAAAAGAGCAAAAAAACCCCTCAAACTATCCCATTGGTTGCACAATGCCCCCTTGAACTATTTTTGGAAGCAAGTTGCCCCCTTGAACTATTGTAGGAAGCAAGTTGCCCCCCTTGAACTATCAAAAGTAAGCAAAATGCCCCCTTAAAGGCCACCGGAAGCTAGTTTCCGACCAACTAAAGAGCACAATTACTAATTTACCCTTACTTTTTAATTTATTATAAAAAATCAAAATATATACTATCATGAAATGACCACTTTGCCCCTATCTTCTTTCCCCTTTCATTTTTTTTTTTTTCTCTGCGTTTTCTTTTCATCTCTCTCTCACTTCCTTCTGCCACCACCCCTCCTCTCTCTTCTCCACTGATGTCGCCACCCATCATCTCCGCTCGCTTTGAAGGATCAAGCTTGGATTTTGGTGTGATTGTAATATCTTCAATCATAGGATGCCTCAGCTTTTGATTTTAGTAAATGCTATTGACACTTGTAATATCTTCAATCAATGATTTCTTGGAGTTTAAACATGGGAAGTTAGAACTCTTTTTTACAAAAAAATCCACCAAAATAAATTCATTTCTTTTACAAGATATGTGTTATATGAATATTGAACAGAAAAAAAAAAAAAAAACAAACAAACAGAGAAGAGTGAGCTGGTCTACATCGAAGATGTGAATTGGCCAGAAGATGTCAGATGCTATGATAAACATTAAACACTAACCGTTGCTGCCAATAACAGTCAGGAAAATACCAACTCTTATTATGACAGGTTTTGATTTAAAATTTTCTCATTCTAAGTAAATTAAGCTTCCGCTTAAAAGTTTTGAGGCTTTGAGAATCACCTGAAAGCTTCAAACTTTGTGTCATGATCAGTGGACTAATCGCAGAGCTTGTGGCATAACAAGTTTTTGGCCTACTAGCACACCTAATTAATTAAACCTTAAAATGCCCACAAATAAAGCATTGTGGTCCCTTATATAGTGACAGAATGATGATAAAAGTCGAAAACTATGCTGCACATTACCTTATTAATTTGATACTCACTCCTTGTTCAGTATAACAAAGATGTAAAATAAAATGCAGTATATAGTATAGATAACCATGAATGTATTACTCAAATCATTATATGACTAATCATTGCTCAGAAGTAATATCAAACTGCACAGCAGATAAAGATGATGGGAACAAAGAGTAAACTATCGACAGGACTGCAATGAAATTTTACCTTCAGGAATGAATATAGTGAAGCATGATAAGCATCCCAATAGACACTCGCGACGTTTCTTTCTACGAAGAATAACCTTGGTAATGGAAGAATTACAATTAGGACAATACAATGCATGTGTGTCCATATCCTCTACTGTCCTCTCGAATTCCAGTTCTATCACTACCTCTTCACTCTCTTCATTTTCTCTTGTTCCTTCACCTACAAGCTTAAATCGTGCATCTAAGACATGTGAAATTTCACCCTTCAGATTTTCGCTTTGACGGTTGATGCCATTGCTTAAAATGTTTCCATTGCCCTGATCTGTAAAATTCAACTCAGAAAGGGAACATTTAAATGTAGCATTTTTTATTCCTGAAATTCCAGTAGTTATTGTTTCAGCACCTGCAACAATGCACTAAATATTAAGATAGAAAATTGTTGTGCTTAATGTGCATGCACAGTTACAAATAGACACAGTAATCCACCCAAAGAAGGAAACTGGTTAATTGTCAACCAATTTTTATGTAGCTGGTTTTCTAAATCAAGCCCATAAAGCTTTGGAGCCTAACATATATAAGCAGTCAATAATAACATAAATTCAATGAAAAACCAGCAATCATTTATCTTCATCTAATATATATATATATATATATATATATCCAGTTTTCTAGATAATCCATGATAAATTGAATAATTATTTAACTGAAAATGAAGCATATAATAAGGGATTGTCACCTTGACAACAGATAAATTGAGTCTTCTAATCTGCTCTTACTGCCATTACGATATCAAAATGTGATAAATTAAGATACCCAAATGTAACCTACCAAGGAAACTCTTCTCTTATAACAGAAAACTGAAAATTTTACTTTTCAAAAGTGAAAGAAATCTAAATATGATTGGTCCAAGGACTTGCAATTCGGTAGGTCCAAATGCAGTCACGACATTTTCGACATTCCTTCATTCGCAAATAAGTTCTTTTTTCTTTTCTTTGGGTGAAAAAGGGTAAGTATAAATAAGGGCAACAGCCCAACAGCAGAGCATTGGTACAGCCAAGCAAGTACAGGACAAACCAACAACGCAGGCTATTATCAAAGCATAGCCAACAACGTGAAGGCTAGCAAGTATAAACATAATTAAAATTAATAGTGAGATCAAGTATGAGATCAATATCTATGCAAAGCAGAATCTGAAGTCTAAGTGTGGGTAAGGTATTTGAGACTATGAGAATGGGACCGTCATTTTCATCATTTTGCATGAGTTGTCTGCAGAAGCTATTTGAAGGAACCTTAAAATGGCAAGCAAGGAAATTAAAACAACTTGATACTTTGGACAATGCATAAGGAAACAAATAGTTGAGAGTGGTTGTCATGGTAAACACTCTCTCCCAACCTTCCCTTGTCCTCTCCTTCTTCTTTAGTAGTATTGTTTTGATGCTGAGGCCGCCTTCTTTGCAAAGCCACTTCCACCTCCTCCTCCACCTCCACCTCCACCTCCACCTCCTTCTGTTGTTCCATTACTCCATTTCCCAGAAGCACAAAAGGCTCTACTTTAACTTCTTCTAAGAGAGCTGCAATGCTTCTATAGCTCATCTTTAGCACTCATACTCTTCTTATATAGCCACATTTAGGTCAAAGATTAATATGAACAAATATATATAATATTATATATACATATATTTATATTATGACTTAGATGAAAGAATGCAAGCTACAACTTTTCATCTATGAACAAACAGAACATAATGCTTGCATGGGACCTTTTTAGGGTCAATTGCAAGTTCAACAACTTTGGGAGCCAATATTACAAACTAACAACTTTTAGAAATTATTTACAACAAAAGGCGAAAATTAATCGAAAAACTAACACATTTCGCTGTTCGCTTTTTATTCATGAACCAAAATGCCCTTCAGCCCTTATCCATGCAATTACTGAATTGCCCTCTACAAAGCTTCTTGCTGAAGGGTATTTTGGTCCATAAATAAAAATGAACAGTGAAATAGGTTAGTTTTGTGATTAGTTTTGGTCTTTTGTCAAATCTTGTAAATATTTAATAAAAGTTGATAGTTTTGTAATATTTGCTTCAAAAGTTGTTGAATTTGCAACTTTCCCTCTTTTAAATTCACCTTATTAGCGCAGAAATAGTGGATTGTCCATGTGAGTTTTCTGATTAATAACTAATTACTAATTTTTTTTGTTTTCTTCCTTGACTTTAGAAATGCAGGTCAAGGTCAACTTAGTTTTCTGATCATGATTTCATAAAGAAAAAAAAAAAAAAAAAGATTGATCATGGTACTTACAACAATTTATAATATCGATTAAGATCTTATAATCCAATCAGACATTCACATTTCCTTACAACAATTTTCCTAGATAATTAATGACCTTGTGGGGCTCAATATGATTTGTCAATGCTTGTTAATTATCCTTTCTTTGTTACTTAATGCGACATGTGACCTCCTCTTTCCAGCTCATGCAATCCTAACAATGTGCCTATTATAAAGGAGGAGAGAAAGAAAATATTAATAGTAATGATAAATTGAGCAGTGGTGTGTTGTGTTGAGATGGTACACTTAATCCTAATAAGACTGCGTACATCTAACTCGACTGCCCTCGGAAGGCTCTATTATACTTTGAAAATAAGCAGCAATTATGATAAATCTTTTTATTGAATCATTAATAGTCTACAAATATGTAGGACTCTTAAAAGATAGAACAACAAAAGCAATAGTCTTGTGAGAAGGCCATCATAAAAAATTTATATAAAAAACTACGATGTTAAAACAATGTGAATGACAGTATCTGATTTACCCTTCAAATTCAACAATCAACTTGAAGAATTGAACATCATTCAATTAATTATTATGACGAAATAGGTCCTCCACACTGCCTCCTAGTTCAGAAGACCAAGGAAGAGTAAAGTGATAAAAGCATGCAAGTGACAATTGTTAATTGACTCGAACCAGCCGAGCTTCTCCATGAGTTCCTTGATTAGATCGCCTACCACGTAAGAAACTTCAGAGACCAAAATGACATTACAGGCATAGTACAGTACAGTCTTGATGTATGACTTGGGAGGCCTTCGGATGTGAGCCTTTCCAAATGCTAGTATAGCAATGCACAGAAGAGAAGCCGCGGTAACTGCCACGAGCTTTAGGCCCCTATTGTTACTCTTCCAAAATGCGAAGCCATATGTTACAGGAGGGATTAGGCCGAAAACTAGGAATGATAACACCGCAACTGTTGCATGAAGTAAGAAATATCCTCAATTTCCCAGTAGTTCTTGGTACCGATCTGCTTCTACATTTCTTTCATTTGAGGTGCCTTTAGGACCATCATTTTTGAGTTCCATAAGCTGTATGGTAACATGTGAGTTAATGATCCTTTCTCATTTTTGGGAGGATTAACATATATTGTTCATTTCATGTTATATAAACAAATATATGACATGGGATATTCAATCCAAAACTATAATGCTACTGCTAGTCTGTTACCACATCAAATATCCAAATTTGAGAAGATCCATCTTTCCTAAATGCAGAGTTTTCTTTGTCATATGTATAATATCAATCAGAGGTTTCAAATTAAAACCACATATGCATTTTATATTATATACAGCCTTATATGAAACGTAGTCCGCTTATATATTCAGAAAGTAAGGATACATTTCCAACTGCAGGTCCTATCTTCCTTTAGCAGGGAAAACTAAACTCACTACTGGTAGCTAACAGCCACTAATGTGAACTGTTTGTATTTCTCAGTCACACACACACACACACACACACAGTTGACATGGAATCTTACACACATTATGACCAATGATGAAAAGTCCACCAATCAGATTTGCCAATCCCAAAGCTACAATGTTCACTGCAACCACTCAAGACAAAATCTTTAAGCAAAATCTAAACTATTTCATGAAATCAAAGGACATTTATATACTGACCTTCCCTACAGTCAATACTATATGAAACTTATTACCTACCGAAAACTAAATCCAACTATTATATACTGATCTTTCCTACAGTGGTGTAGACAGCCAAAGAAACCAGAAGTTCTGAACACTTACATGTAGTAGCATCAGCAGCTGCGGCAGATGACACAACACTTAGGCTTGCAATTGATTCCACTAAACCGCCATAGACAATGCTCTTTAGGATATCCAATGTTTTAGAACCTTTTCTTTCACTTACAGCTATTGGTTTTGCTGGATGAACAGTAATATGCTGTGTGCTGTGAAACTCTCTTGGTTTGACTTGCCTTGCTTCAAGCATTGTTGCATCAGCTCCTGATGCATTAGACTATATGCCAAATGTATGTAATATACGTTCAGAAAGTCATATGCATGATGCATTAGACTATGTGCCAAATGTTTGTAATTAGAAAAAAATGCAAATGAATATTAACAGAAGCCGATAACCATTAACTTACCATCTACACTAATCTCAACTGAAATTTGTAACTAATTTATACATGATAATCTTAGCAGAACTTTGGAACTACAACTAATTGGCATTATAAACCAACGAATTTAATCTCGAGCAGGTCAGGACTAAATTTCACATTGGACTGTGTTTTATTATACACACACACACACACACACACACACACCTAGCTAATCCACTTCAGATTCATAAGTACTAATAAAACACCAGAAATACCCTATTATCAAATATAAGGCTAAATGGGAATTGGAAGAGAATAGCACGACTAGACACGGTTAGCAGGACTTGCAGAGAGATTATAGTATACATACCTTCAGGCCTTTTGGCTTCAACATTCTTTGTCTCTTTAATTTCACTTTCTGGTTTTGTGGGAAGTGCAGCCCCTTTCATGGGTTTTTCATCTGCATAAGTTCCAATTTTCTATTCAATGTGTGTCACAATTTCCAAACTTAAAAAAAAAAAATCCCTCACTAATTTTGTTGATATCTGCCAACCTTAAAGTGATAAGATACTAAACAAAATATTATAGAAAAATAAATATTTCGAGAATTATTGAATTCCAGATCCCTATGTTAGAATGTATCTCCAAACATTTCTCCCTTGAAAGACTAGAACTCATTACTTCAGAGTTTTTTAACCTATAGTTTCTGTTTAATTGCATCACCTGATTCCACTCCTAGATCGATTATCAGATCCCTAGGTGGCATGAGTCCTCAATCTGTAGCTGTTCCAACATGTTCTCTGGCTTTCGAAGATTCAGGGATCACACCACTTAAAATCCATTATTCCTCATTGTTTGGCCAAGCAATGAATCAGGTAATGCTTCATTCGAGATATGAGAGGGATCTGGTGCCGCAAATTCATTTTTGTTCATATGCTGCTTATGATCATTTTCTGAATAAGCATATCAAGCACAAAGTAAACCAAGGAAAATTAGCATGAGAAGAAAATTTTCGACTTACAAATATGTAACTTGTTGCGGCATAAAGTAACTATAGTCTATAGGCACTGGAAAAATAACCAAATAATAGTGAATACTTCAGGAATCCGAAAAATGAGCCAGACAGAATAAAGGACTGCCAATGATGTATTGTATTACCTTTATCAATCACCATTTTTTCCTTCTCATATGCAGTATCAGACGAGGGAAGATTTTCATCTGCAGAAGGTATTTGTTGACAAATTTGTGTGTTCTTATTCTTTCTTCCATACCCAAAAATCCAAAATGGATTAAAACCACTCCCTGCATGATTAAAGAAATTAATTAAAGATCTTATCGGTAATATGACCTCTAATGCTCTACACATTTAATTAGTCAAGAAATAAGGAACTAGCAGTGTTTGTTCCATGTAAAATTCACTGATGTAGGGCAGGTTTTGATTAAAAATTATCTCATTCCAAGTAAAGCTTCCCCATAAAGTTTTGAGGCTTTGAGCATCACTTGAAAGCTTCAAATATTGTGTCATGATCATTGCAGAGCTTGTGGCATAACATGTTTTTTCCTTCTAAAAAAAAAAAAAAAAAAAAGGGTAAGAGAGCATAATTTTCCCTTTTATATATGGTGACTATGGTAACAAAAACTGTGTCATTACATTACCTTATCAAATTTGGCACTCACACCTTGTTCGGGAATTAATACGAAAGGTGTATAATAAATTTCACTATTGAGTATACATAACCATGAATTCATTATGTATTAGTTTAATATTATATGATAATCATTGCTCAGAAGTAGAATCAAACTGCACAGCATATAAGATGATGATGACAAAGAGTAAATTATTGACAGTGCCGCAATGAAATATTGTACCTGTTGTAGGAATGAAAAAACTGAAGCATGACAAGCATCCCAACAGATCAACTGGCTTGGGATGTTGCACAATATTGGCTATCCGTTTTCTGCTACGAAGAATAACCTTGGTAATGCAAGAATTACAATTAGGGCAATACATTGTATGCGTGTCCAGCTTCTCTACCGCCCTCTCAAATTCCAATTCTATTACTTCCTCTTCAATTTCTTCGTTTTCTTGTGCGTCTTCTTCTTCGTGTGAACTTTCATCCTTTAGGGTATGTTTGGATTGAGAGATTTGGAGGGATAGTGAGAGAAAAGAAAAAAAAAGAATAGTATAAATTGTGTTTGGGTAGGTTAAAATAAGAGAAAAGAAAGGATGGGGAGGGATATTCCTCCCTCTCCGTCCTTTTCTATTTCTCTAAAAATTTTCTCTAGAAATGAGAAGATAGGGAGAGAAAGAATAGTGTTTAATTAGTATTTTAATAATTTCGAAACTACCCCCAACAATTAAAAGGAAGAAATTATTATTCCACTCATATCCTATCTATTTTAAAGGATATGATAGTAATTTCATTGTTATCATTTCCACTCATATCCTATCTATTTTAAAGGATATGATAGTAATTTCATTGTTATCATTTCTCTTCTTTTCTACTCTCTATCATATTCAAACAAGAATACTATACTTTCTTTTCTATTTATCCAAACATAAATAGAAATTATTGATATCCTTTCTTTTCTCTCATAACTAATACTATCATTTCTTTTCTTTTCTTTTCTACTTATCCAAACGCCCCCTTAGATTTTTGCATTGATGGTTTATGACAGTGCTTAAGATATTTCCAACGTCGACATTCTTTGGTTTAGCATCTGTCGATACCTATTTCTATAGTATAGTTGAATAGTCAAGGGGCCTGGGATATATCAGTTAAAACACAATGTGAGAAAGGCAGAAGAACTGAGGAAGGGGGAAAAAACTAGCCCAAAGCGAGGACTGGAGTGATGGCATTTGGAGTGTTTGGTCTGAAGAGCCTGCCGATAATCTTTTTCATTCCTTCCTTTTTATAGCCTTAGGTGTATTAGGCCTCTTTCTAGATAAGGTAGGGCCCATGTACTTTTTAAGATCACCTTGCCCAAATTCCTATCCTTCAGGACCCATTTAACAAGTGTAACGCTCATCCTTAAATGACCTAGGTAGGATTATGCGTAACGGTAACGATACTTACTCCGGCTATCTATCACTTTGGTCCTCGAATTGGGTCTTGTCTTTGCAAGACTTGACTAGTTTTCTTTCCTCCATTCCAAAGTCCCCTCTGTATTCCCCTGATAACGAAAAAGTCCTACCATTTACTCTTTGTTCTAGTTGGGTCGAATTGAGGTTCTAGGCCCGTCGATCGACGATTCGTGGTTGGGTTGGATCGAGGTTCTAGGCCCGTCGATCGACGGTTCGTGGTTGGGTCGGATCGAGGTTTTAGGCCCGTTAATCGACGGTTCGTGGTTGGGTCGAATCGAGATTCTAGGCCCGTCGATCGACGGTTCAAGGTTGGGTCGCTGTACTCCTCGACCCAATTTTATTCTTTTTTTATCTCAATTGTCATTTTGTCTTTCCTGGTTAGGGTAATGATGTCGTGGGGGCCACCTAGATTTGGCTAGGTGACGTGGTTTTACCACATCCACATTTAGTCCCCCTGCACGTGCCATTTCTTAATTTTGAAAGAAAATGGGGTGCGTGCAAAAAGGCATGAGTGTAATGGCTTTGGGAAACGTGGGCTTATATAACTTGTGTCAGTTTGATCATTAATGGAAGTGACGCTTCGGCTAGGGCGTAACTGCGTTAGTGGGTGTGACGCTTGAGTGTCATTTTCCCCAATGCGAAACCGCCATGCCTATATAAACAGATGTTTGGGGAAAGAAGAGAGAAGAAGATTAAGAGTGAAATAGTGAGTACAAAACCGATCATTTGTTAAGGGGATCTGAGTGTTGAGAGATACAGGTTAGGTTACTTATTGTCGTGCTCTTGTCTCTGGACATATGACGAAGCAGAAGGCACTGAGCAAGACCGATGAACTAGTGTCGGAAGTGCCGCTGGAGTCAGAGTGGAGAAGGGCACCGTTCTTTGGGTCAGTAGATGGGTTCTGGACATTTATTGGGGATGTTGTTTCGGAAGGTATAGATAATGGAGTCGCACAATTGATGGAGGAAGAGGGCCCCATTGAAGAAAGGGCCAGGCCGTCAACCAGTAGTGTGCACCGTTTTGCCATTGAGCAAGGGATTTATCCCTACTGCTTTTTGAAATTCAAGGCACCAGTGGGCCCGTGTAGTGGATGGGAAGAGTGGACCGATCACATTTTCTCATATAAGCCCTATATGAATTGGCTTCGCCAGGCAAAGGTGGCTCGAGCCATGCGCTTATTTCGAACCCTGAGGATGCCTAGGGATATTGCAGGATTGGAGTTGCTATTGTCACGATAGTGTAGCGTAACCCATACTTTTGTCACGAAGTGGGGGGAGTTTACACCGACCTTGGAAGATGTGGTTCATCTATTGGGTCTGCATGTGATAGGGGGAGAATTTTCTATGCCTCTTGTGTTGGATGTGGCCGAGCAAGCCATTCTGGAGACTTTGGAGGAGGGGTTAGAAAAAACCGAAAGTTATGGATCCTTTTTTGGACCCAAGGGTGGTCTGCGCGAGGAAAGGAGTGAAGAGGCGAGAAAAGTACAACTAGGGCTTGGATTCAATATTTTTTTAAAGACTTTCAACCCTCATTTAAGGGTGGTAAGTCACAGCGCCCAGCGATCGATGGAGACAAAATTGGACACCCCGCGGAATTAGCGGCGTATGTGCCATGCTGGCTATCAAAGTACATTTTTCCGAGGACTCCGGACGATGCTCCGCTGAGTAAGTGGTGCCAGGTAGCAGTTAAAATAGCCAGTGGTGTTGTTTTCCTTTTAGGGCCTCTATTTTTGGGTACACTATATTAGCGATTAGACATGGTGGCAAAGGATTGCATGAGATTCGTGGGACGTTATCCTATGGTGTCGTACTTGGCCACTGGATTTCTGCAGATGTTCTTGTACGAGCGTTTTCCCTCGTATGGTCCCCTACCTCTGGAGTTGGGAGATCCTGAAGGAGCACGAGGGAAGCGCTGGATTGGTCGTACATGGTGAGTTCCTTTAGGTAATGTGATCGATTCGGAGCTAGAGTTCATTTTTAGGCCTTATAGAGACAAAGTGGCTGGAGTAATTGATGTAGAGCTATATTGGGAAGAATCGAGGGTGTTCAACCCGAGACAGGAGCCTTGCAATCATGATGAGCAATATTTTGCGTTGGTGGTGACCCCATGCTATGTGCCTGGACGATTTGAGGTGGGGGATGTGCTAAAGGTATATAATCCAAAGCGTGTGCCGAGGCAATTTGGGTTTGACCAAGGTGTGCCAGGAGCGTGTGATCTTGTGAAAAAGTATGAGGAGTTGGAAGAGACTCTGTATCATTTCTCGATACAGTATGATTTGTCAGAAGAGAATATGGATTATATTGTGATTCCCTCTCAATCTCTCTTGGGTGACATTACAGAGGGCTATCGATTGTTCTGGGAGCAGTGTGTTGAGGAATTCAAGACATTCTATTTGCAAGTGCCCCAGCCAAGTGAGCCTGGACCAATTTATAAAGATGATGTGTCCTTGCGTTTGCCTCGTGCGGGAGTGCGAGGAAATCGTTCAATCATGGCACCATTAGCCTTAGAAATGGGTGAGGTTACATATGCTGTAGTGCCGGAAGCTGTTGTGGCTGGGTTTCCTGTTGAGCCTAGAACAACCAGAGGCCACACTTCCGTTGGCCGGGCCAAGTGCAGCCCGAGCTAGTGCTCCATTCGAGTCGAGGCAGGTAAGGGGTAAGCAAAGGAAACGTCAGCCAATGAAAGCGACGAACTACTCATAAATTTGGTTCGTCGTAAACGAAAGGCAGCGGTAGTCAATCTATCGAAGAGCGAAAGCTTAGAGAGGGTTATGCATATAAGCTGCAACGACCCGAACCCGTAGGTCCAAACCGCTAGTCGGGTCCTTACCCAAACCCGAGGTTAACTAAGTCAATACCATCATAGCCAGTGTTGATGTATCATTCTTACGTCATAAACATGCTCCATGAATATTCTAGGCAACATGTAATACCCCTAATTTCAAAAGGGATAAAAATGGAATTTAAATTTTATTTTTGTGCATTTTAAATTGATTTTGTATCTATATGCTTATGTGTCCAATTGTTTGTTTATTTTAATTCATTGTGTTATTTTTTAATTGTTTGTTTATTTTAATTAAGGGTGTAATTCTTTATTTGTTTGTTTATTTTAATTAATTGTGTTATTCTTTATTTAGTTTAATTAAAATTAAGTTAGTTTATTTAAGTTCAATTATAGTTTTGATAGCAATTCAAGTATAGGCGGCTGAGTATTGTAACCTAGGTTGCTCTATGGGCCGACTAGGATTTAATTAGGGTTTTACTCTAATTATATATGGACGGGGTTCTGTTCTAGCATATATATAAAGAATAGAGTGGTCTGTTAGGGTTAGCAAAACTCTTTGCACGTACCTATAAGTTAGAGAGAAAAACAGAGAGTTTAAAGAGAAGGGGATGAAGGTTTTGGCACAAGGGATTTGGGCTGGACCAAGGATGATGGTTGAGGGCTATTCGAGGGTTAGAACCGGAGTAAGAGAGTCCTTGACGGCAGTCGAGATCGCCGGAAAAACTTAGAAAGACGGCGACATGGTTTCATCCAAAATTGTAAAGGCGAGTTCTTTTCTTCTTCTTTCCCCTGACCTGTGTTCTGTGCACCTAGATGTTCTCTAGGGTTTAATTCATCGTTAACTGAGAATACATGTTTATTATATGATATTTTGATAATCTATATGTGTTAAAATAACTCTGTTACAGTAGTTGCAAATCTGGGTTCAGTGTTGGTTCTGTATGCCTATTAAAACTGTTGAAAGTCCAATCTCTGTAATTGATTCCAACGAACTGTAAACAAACCATTGAGATGCTATTGGGTGTTATTAAGACTATTAGGATTTGTTTTAAAGCCTAATAGAAAGGCTGGTAAAGGTGGAAAGTGACCGAAAGCAAAGCAGAGAGTCGCAGGAATTGCAGAGGTTGGAGACGGCTCTTAGAAGGGGAGAGAGCCGGCTCCATGGAATGAGGGAGCCGGCTCCCTCATCTTTTCTAGGTAAAGAGCCGGCTCCATGAAGTAATGGAGCCGGCTCAAGGCTCTAAAAGAGCCTGCTCTTTCCAAAAATTGAGCAGGCTCTCTTGGAATTTCATTTTTGATTTTTTTTTTTATT